CCATGAAAGCCGGCAGTTCCAACTCACCAGCTGCTCTTTGGAAGCCCTGTACAGGGTCGTCATGAGTCAGATGCTGACTCCACAGCACTTAGCAACAACACTGTTTTCTAGCAGTCCCTGGGTGGTGCCAACAGTTAACAGGCTCAGCTGCTGACCAAAAGGGTGAAGGTGTGTGTCCACCCGAGGAGTGCCTTGGGAGAAAGGCCTGGAGGTTTATTCCTGAAAGGTCAGTCTTAGAAAGCTCTATGGAGCATAGCTGTGATCTTTACACACATGGAGTCGTAGTAATTTGGAGTTGACTAAATGGCAACCTCGGAAACCCTGTACAGGGTCGCTATGGGTCGGAACCGACTCGACAATTAACAACAACAAATGGCAACTAGTAATTGGTACCATTTTCTAACTGTGGGACTTGGGCAAGTCCCTTCTCTGCTCTGTTTCCGTTTCTTCAATCATCGTACCTGCTTTATGAATTGTTACGTGGTTGTTGTTAAGTGCCATCAAGTCGGTTTTGACCCATAGCAACCCCATATAAGGTTTTTGAGGAGCAGCTGGTGGGTCTGAAACGCTTGCTTATTATCTTAGAGTTGTTGTTAAGTGCCGTCGAGTCGGTTCTGACCCATAGCAACCCTTGTACAGGGTTTCCGAGGCTGTAAATCTTTACGGGAGCAGAATGCCTCATCTTTCTCCCGCAGAACAGCTGGTAGTTTCGAACTGTCGGCCTTAAGGTTCGCAGCCCGATTCGTAACCACTACGCTACCAGAGCCGATAAATGGGTACATGCAAAGACTGCTGTCTGGCTCAGTCCTGTGTCTTGTTGTTGGGGTGGCAGTGTCCGGTTCTGACAGGTTCAGCGTGAGTTTAGAGGTTGAGAGTAAGGGCTGCTTGTCACAACCTGATGTCTTGCTCAGTATTCATGTTCAGCAGACTAAACAGGCAAGGCCGGGACTTTGTGCTGGTGTTTCATGCTCATTTCTCAGAAAAGATGTTTCCCGACTCCCTCACTTGACAGTTATGAAAAGGGGCAGCTGTTGGCTTAGAAACAAGTTTATCTTGTGAAGTGAGATCATCTTGAAGGGACAGCTATTTCCTATAGCTCCATCATGCTTTGCATTTCAAACAGACCACAGGGGGCTTATATTTAAATGTGTTTAAAAAAAAAAAAAAAAGGAAGAGAAAATGCAAATGTAGTCAAGTGTGTTGTAGAAATAGATACAGTCTTCCCATCAAAGGTCATGTCCACATTTGCAGAGGGAGCAGATAAACTGGGAAAACACACAGCTTGCTCTTGGGTGTTCTCCAAGGCAGGCTCAGACTACCCAGCCAGCAGATCCTTGCTGGGAGACTGTTCTGTTTGGGGACCTTAGAGACTTGTCTTGACGCTGCCCTGTGAATGTCTCTGTGCCAACGGTGCTGCTGTAAAGGACCGGGAGAGTGGTCCTAACTGCCTGGGTCAATCCAGGGGATCGAGGCCAAGGACTATTTCTGGATTCTCCTAGTACCAGGAAAGGAGCCACGTGGTGAGCAGGACCCCGGAGCCTGGAGGCTGCCCCCTGCCGGGAATGAGCTGTCTGCCTCAGGCCTGTGTGCTTCTGAATGGTCATTGTTACTGCTTCGCCATTCTGAGGAACCAGATACCGTGTATCTGAGACCCACAAGCTCTGCATGGACGAGTGCCTGACGTGTTCACCTGTGTGTCTTCAGAACAGCATGTCTTTACTGCCAGGCGTAACTCCTAACTGAAGGGCTGAAGCGCCCCAAGAGTGTCCCCCAACATGCTCTTCCTGGGGAGGGCTCTCTCCAAAGACAGAGCCACCTGCCGCCCCTTGAGGGGAGACTACTTCCTATTGGTTGTCAGACATTTCCCAGAGGCATCTGAGTGCTTGACCAGAGGTTTTAACCAAATCAAAATTAATCTGGAAATGTTGATGAGCCAGAGAGGGGAGACAAGCGCCCACTGTGGCAGGACAGGATCCGTCCCAGTGTAGAAGGACTTTTAACTAATGGCCAGGAGGGAGTGTGAAGATGGGAAACCCACTCCTTAGGGGGATAGATCTTTCCTTAAAATGCTTCCTTTTATTTTAAAGTCTTAATAATAAAATCTCCCCCACAATTACCCCCCAAGGAAAGTCACTGAGGCAGAAAAACAACAGAGAGCCCTATTTTCCCAGCCCTGTAAAAGTCTGCCCCTGGACATCCAGGAAACTGCCTGGCCTCACAGCCCACCCCCACCTCCCCACTGTGGTGAGTGGTCCAGTGAGCAGTGAGTCTGAATGTCCTGTTGGAGTTGCGGCCCCGTATCTGTGTGCCATCTCCCTGACCTGGGGGTAGCTCAACAAGACCTCCCCTCCAACAGCAGGTGCACAGGCCAGGTAGACTCTGGTGATCAGAGTGCTTGCTAATGTAGCACTGCATTTGCCACCTGTGACGACTGTTGACCTAGGTTCCCCAGATGTCAGCTTTAACCGCTAGGGCACTCCCAGTCAGCACTGTCCTTCCAGCCCCTGCGTGTCTGCAGTTTTAAGTCCTTTACTGAGAGAGAGAGAAGCCCCTGTCTTCAGTGCGCCCTCTGGTGTCCATTTGAAATTCTGGATGCAGAAAACATCTGATGTAAAGTCTGCAGCACAGGGAATAATACCCATGGGCGTATGGCCTATTCTTAAAGTACATCAAATGTACTTTAACACTCAGACTCAAGCTTATGCCAAGAAAAACCTAGAGAACAGCCGATGGCCACATATGAGCAGATGCCAAAAATAACTGTCTTGTCTGTGATCAAGGATGTTAAATTACCAGATGAACTGTCTCAACAACCAGAGACAATAATTAACAGACATTTTGACATCACACACCAACATTTATTGAGCACTTGCTAACATTTTGGTCATTTTGCTGAGCCAGGAGTGGCAAATGCAGACAAGTGCTTCCACTCAGATCGTCTTTCACCTATGACAGCTATCACCAATCAATTACAGCTCTCTTCCCTACAGTCCAGTAAGGCAGACATCACCAATCAATCACAGCTCTCTTCCCCATAATCCTCAATTGCATATTCTAGGAAGTCAGTACCCAATGTTTAGAGTTGGAGTCCAAGATAAAACTAATTTATTATACCTTTGACATGCTTTATGTGTATTTCCTCATGTTTTCCTTACAGTAATTTTTGTGGTGAAGATACTCCTGGTTTATAATAGCCAAGGGGAATCCTGGTGTAGCGCTGTACGATAAGCACTGGACTACTAACTGTAAGGTTGGTGGTTCAAACCCACCCACCATTCCTCAGAAACCCTAAACAGGATCACTATGAGTCAGAACCAACTCAGCAGCACTAAACAAAAACATGATATCCAAGAAGGAACCCTGGTGGCACAGAGGTTAAAGAGCTTGGCTGCTCAGGTTGGCAGTTCAAACCCGCCAGTTGTGCTCTGGGAGAAAGAGGTTAACAGACTGCATCTGTAAGAGCCTGCACGAGCAGCTCTCTGTCCTAGAAGGTTGCTAGGAGTCAGAATCGAACTGATGGCAGTGGGTTGGGTTTGGGTTTGTAATCTCCAAAGCAGTTGCTTCCCATCTTATTCCTCTCCTCCCAGCCTCTGGCATTTCCCAGTTGGTCTTCTGGTCTGTGGATTTGCCGATTCTGAGCATTTCCTTTCAGTGTGACCACACAGCATGTGGACATTATCCTTCGCTCAGCATAATGTTTTCAAGGTTCATCCACGCTGTAGCATGCATCATTAGTACTTCACTCTTTTGTTATGCCCACATCCTATCCCAATCTATGGAGAAGAATACTGAAATTACCATGGACTGTCAGAACAAAAAACAGGTGTGTGTTGGAAGAAGTACAGCCAGAGTGCTTAGAAGGCAGGATGGTGAGCCTTTGTCTTAGACTTTGGACACGTTATCAGGAGTGATTGGAGAAGGACAGTCATGCTTGGTAAAATGGAGGGTTGGTGGGAAAAAAGGAAACCCCCCAGTAAGATGGATTGGCACAGGAGCAGCAGCAATGGGCTTAAGTATAATATCAGTTGTGAGGCTGGCACAGGACCGGACAGAGTTTCACTCTATTATGTATCAGGTCTCTGTGAGTCAGAACCCACTCGATGGTCCCTAACAACAACAATATAGAGAGTCCACATTTTGCTGAACCCTTTATCATTTTATAGGTTTCAGAGTTATTTCCAATTTTTTGTTGCTATGAATGATAATTGCTTTGAATATTTGTACACATACCTCTGTGTAGTTATATGTTTCTGATTTCATTTTGTCAGCTTCTTTTTTTGTTCTGCAAGTTTTTACTGTGACCTGAGTGATAGTTTTTTAGGGTTTTTTCCTGCCCTTTACCCTGTGCTCTACCATTACCTCCCTTCACCTGAGTGTTGTTTACATGGGAGAACATCGGCTTTACACCATCGTTTCCTTGCAGTGATTACAATCTCTTCCATGCATCATCATTCAATAGTATTTGCTTTCATTCCTGTTTTGTTTTTTTTGGGGGGTGCAGGGGATGTACACAGAAACACTCAAAAGGCACATTCTGCAAGCCTGCCTCCTGGCTGCCAACACCCAGTCCCTCTCTTTCCGTGAGTCCAGAGTCCTCAGCTGCTCTATTTCTCCATGTCCTCTGTCAGTTTCTTTTTAGCTCACCCTCTGGTGGTCAGACAAGCCTTCGTTTTCATTTCAGCCATCATATGTGACACCAAAAGAAGCCCTGGTGGCAAAGTGGGTTAAACTTTGGATTTCTAACTGCAAGTTCTTTGTAGTTCAAACCCACCAGCTGCTTTATGAGAAAAACAAGACAGTCTGCTCCCATCAAGATTTGTAGTCTCAGAAACCCTAAGGAGCAGTTCTGCTCTGTCCTGTAGGGTCGCTGTGAGTCAGAATTAACTTGGTGTCAGTGGGTTTGGACAGGACACCAAATGTACTAACCGTGAATTTGTGTGAGTTATATACAATGGTTATGTTTTCTGGGTCTGTTCCTATGATCTGCATTGTTCTTGCAGACTTGCCCTTCGTGTGGAATTACATTTGCTCCCAAATCTGAAGCTGGTGCAGAAGGAGGAGCCGTCCAAAATGGCTGTCAAGACGACCATAAAAACAGTACCAAGGTAATGAGCTCTTGGCTGTGGCTTTCTCTCGTTGCTCACATACCCAAGTGACATTCTGTCTGCTCAGCTTCTCGTATCGGAATCCTTGCTCTTAAGTGACACCATCCCATACCTTCTAGCCCTTTGGATTTTAAGCACAGCCGTAGAAAACAGGATGGGAGACGGAACAGGGCCAGGTGGTAGAATGGCTGGGGTTCCCTTCATGGGCAATGAGTTGGAAGACATGTGGATTGGGGAAGTTGAGGAAGGAGTTGTGGCTCTGCACTCAAAACATGGTAGAATGTCAGTGTGCAAAGAGAAGAGGGGCCTTCTTTCGAGATGAGAAATGCTTGGTGAGAAGAGGTTTGGCATTAGAGCAAGTTGCAGTGGGACTCCTAGAGAAAGCTAACTTTGAGACCAGGGCAAGCCCCAAGGGGAGGTCAAAGAAAAAAACCAACCCCAAGAACCCTTTCCAGAAAACCTAAAAAGGCTGACTTCCCGAAAGAAGCAGTCTCTGTCTTCACCCTGAAATCTAAGCTCCTGTCTTCATCCACCTTTTCTTAAGCTGCAGCCTGTTCAGCTCAAGGCTTCCTTTCCCCAGACCCATCCTCAGAATGCCCTTGTTGTTAAGTGTTATCAAGTAGGTTCCGACTCACAGCAGCCCTGTGTAGGGTTTCTGAGGAGTAGCTGGTGGGTTTGAACTGCCGACTGTGTGGTTCACAGTCCAGTGCTGATCCTACAGTGCCACACCAGGAGCCTCCCCAAACCTTCTGGAACACTAGCTCCATGGGAAGCTAACTCTCCTGGGACCTCGAATCTTCTCTCAGCTTCCTTTCCACCTCCTTCCTGACCCTCCATGATTGCACCGTCCAGGTTGCCTGAACACTTGGAGATGGAAGTGGAAGAGACAGGGTAGGGAGGAGAAGCAGATGGGGGAGAGGTCAGGCTCCTCAAGTGCTGCCCCTTTTACAGGTGGAGTTGTTGAGCCTGCTGATGGGGATGTGGGACGCCAGCGTGACAGAGGTTGGGGGTGGAAGGAGCATTTGTTGATCCCAACATTCCAACTGCTGTGTTTGCTTCTCCCTTGCCTTGAGGTAGGCTTCTGGAGGCTCTAATTCCAAAGCCCAAAATGGACTGCTGAGCCCTCCACCAGAGGAGAAGCTCACCAACAGTCAGACCTCGCTTTGTGAGATCCTACAGGAAAAGGGAAGGTGGGCAGGGGTGAGCTTGGACCAATCCGCTCTCCTTCCACTGAGATTCAAGAACATCCGGGAGAAAACAGATGCTCATTTTGTTGATGTCATAAAAGAAGACAGGTAAGATTGATGTCACTTGCACCAAATGAAGGTGCTCCCTTCTGACTTCCTTCTTTCCTCCTCGTGTTTGTCCTCCATTCTCAGCACAGTAGTTTATTTTGAAGTCAGTTCAAACTCGAACAAGTTGTAAGAATAATAGAAAGAATTCCCCTTAAGCCTTCTGTCCAGAGTCACCAACTTTGAACATTTCGCTCATTCTCTTTCTCTCTCACACTGTATATGAAATGTAGTCTTTATTTTTTCTCAACTTTTTGATGGGAAGTTGGAGACTTCATACATACTACAAATACTATGCATTATAGTTCAGTGTGTGTTTCCTAAAAACAAGGGTGTTCTTTTACGTAATGCAATCATGTCATCAAATTCAGGAAAATTAACTGATCCAATTTTATAAATCTGATCTGCCATCTCTCTGTCATTTCATTAGGGGGCCCACAGTTTCCCTTAGAGCATCTTGTTCCCACTAGTCTGGGACCCACTCCAGGAGCACCTGCTGCATTTACTGGTTGTGCCTGTCTAATTTTTAAAAAAATCTTCAGTTCCTCTGTCATTTTTGTCTTTCATGATATAGGTAGTTTTGAGAAATATAAGCTCTATGGATTTGTGAAATGTTTCCTCATGAAATAGAAAAAAATGGAAATAAGTCCATGAAGAAAACCAAAACAAATTTATGAGAACCAAAATATTACCTTGAATATGCTCCATCTTTTATTTAGGGACCATCTCAAGAACAGACTTGACACGTTGAAAATTAGTGACCAGAGGAGTTGTGTGATGACGTAAAACACATCATACATGAAGAAAACTAAAAGTCATTAAAAGAAAGGAGGGAAAGAAAAGACCAAAATGGTTGCCAGTTTATGACACAATTGCAAGTGATTGTTTTCAGGCCTATTGGTGTCTATCACAACTATAAATGTAGAAGAGGTGCAACTAAAGGGCGGAGCAGTTCATCTGTCACAAGAGCAGGGGCCCCTAGGACCATCAAGAGGTCAGAAAATGAGAGGAGGGAGGGATCCTGACCAGAAAAGTGGCGACAATAGCGATGGCCAAGGCGATGGCTTAGACACAGAGCAGCAGTGGACTGTAGGCCCATAGACTGAGAAAATCAATCTGCCTGTGGGCAGGAGGCTGGCTTGCAAATATGCCCTTTGGACATTTAAATGAATATATATGTACAAACAGATATGTGTATGTCAGAAAAAATTCTAAAAGGTAATAGAGGTAAATACTATTGGCTAAGGGTGCATAGAATATGGTAATCATTACAATGATTTGCTGAATGTAAAAATGGTGATCTGCCCTGTAAGCCTTCACTCACACAATACACAATTTAAAAAAAAAAAAAAAGATAACCATTTGAGGGAAGCTGGATAAAAGATACCCAGGATCTCTGTATATCTGTATATAAATTTTACAACTGTTAAATATGTAATTGTCTCAAAATAAAAGTTTCAATGGAAAAAAATGTTTATCAGAAGAGACTCTGAAACATGCTCTTGAACATAGAGAAAGCTAAAGCAACTGGAAGAAATGATGAGTAAAAGAACTAATAGAAAATTTCAGTTCAAGAAGACAAACGTATTGTAATGAAATGTGCAAACACCCGGAATCAGAAAACCAAAAGGGAAGATGCTCAGCATTCATCAAGCTGAAAGAATGAAAGAAAAAATTCAAGCCTTGGATTCTTGAATATTGAAGAATTCTGTGCGTAAAATATTAAATGAGGCAGGAAGCATCAACAGAAGATGGAAGAAGTACACAAACTGACTGTACCAGAAAGAATGATCAATGTCCAACCATTTCAGAGGTAGACCAAGAACCAGTGGTATTGCAGGAAGAAGTTCAAGCTGCACAGAGGCATTAAAGCAAAACAAGGCTCTAGGAATTGACAGAGCACAAGTTGAAACCTTTAAACAAACTGATGCAGCACTGACGGTGCTCACTTGTCTACACCAAGAAATTGGAAAACAAGTATCTGGCCAACTGATTGGAAGAGATCCATATTTTTGCCCATTCCAAAGACAGGAGTGTGGAAATCATCGAACAATATCACTAATACCACATTCAGTTAAAATGTTGCTGAAGATAATTCAAAAACATTTACAGCAGTACATGTACAGGGAGTTGCCAGAAATTCAAGCCAGATTCAGAAGAAGATGTGGGATGAGAGATCCTGACTAAAAGCGGAGAATACCAGAAAACTGTGTACAGACTATACAAAGGCATTCGACTTTGTGAGTCATAACAAACTATGGATAAAGGATGACTATTCAGAACACTCAGTACATAGACCAAGAGTCAGTCACTTGAGCCTAGTAAGGGCATGCTGAACGGATGGAACTCAGGAAAGGGATGCAGCAGAATTGTGTCCTTTCACCATAGTGACTTAATTTGTAAACTGAGCAGATAATCTGAGAAGGTGGGTTACATAAAAAGGAGCATGGCATCAGGATTAGAGGGAGGCTCACTGGCAATCGCAGATGACACAGCCTTGCTTGCTGAAAGTGTTTACTGATGGAGCTGGAAGCCTGCAGCGGTCACCTGGATGGCACCTCAGTGTAAAGAAAACAAAAGTCCTCATCACTGTACCAGTAAATAGCATCATGATAAATGGAGAAAAGACTGAAGTTGTCAAATATTTCATTTTACTTGGATGCACAATCAGTACTCATGGAAGTAGCAGTAAAGAAATCAAATGACAGATTGTTGTAAGCAAATCTGTTGCAAAAAAATCTCTTTAAAGTGTTAAAGAGCAAAGGTGTCAATTTGAGGACTAAAATGCACCTGATCCAAGCCATGGTATTTTTTATGCCTTCATTTGCATGTGAAAGTTGGGCAGTGACTAAGGAAGACAGTAGAAGAATCGATGCATTTGAATTATGGTGTTGGTGAGGAATATTTGACGGGAGGAGGGACAAACAGTTCTTGAAAGAAGTACAGCCAGAATGCTCCTTAAAAGCAAGGATGGTAAGACTTTGTCTGTCGTTCTTTAGACATGTTGTCCCTGAGGAAAGACATCATTTCTGGTAAAGTGGAGAGTCAGCAAAAAAGAGGAAGACCCCAGCAAGATGGCTGACAGTGTAGCAGCAACAGTGGGCTCCAGCAGAACCTGTGAGGACGGCACAGGACCAGGCGCTGTTTGGTTCGGGTGGACATAGGGTTGCTACGAGTCTGAACTGACTTGATGGCAGCTAACATCAACAATATATATATATACACACATATATATAGGTTAATGTGCTGGACTGAAAGGTCAGTTTGAACCTCAAAGTCGGCAGTTCAAGCTCACCAGCTACTCTTCAGAAACCCTATACAGGGTTACTATGACCAGTTGGAACCAACTCAACAACACTTAGCAACAACAACAAAACAACAATATATATGTATAGGACTCCTGGTGTGGTGCTGTAGGCTCAGCACCAGACTACAAACCACAAGTTCAGCGATTCAAACCCACCAGCAGCTCCGTATAAACCCTCCATAGGGCTGCTATGAGTTAGAACAGACTGGATGGCACCAAACAACATATATGTATTATGGTTTTGAAGCCTAGGGAATGCCTCTAGAGCAGTGTTGATTCTGTCGCTGGACCTCCGAAACATGGCCACCTCACATCCTTCCGATGGACACCGTGTGGTTTTTCCCTCTCTAGACAGGGGGCAACACCAGATGTGACGGGGTTTTCTCTCTTTCCTACAAATCTGAGCACAGACTAAAGTATGGCACATTTAACACAGACCGGGAGGATCCTCTATGTGCCAAGGAGAGGAGGACGTGCACATACAATGAGACAATTGTGTGTCAGGCCCACAGTTCTTGTTGTTAAGTGCCGTTGAGTTGGTTCTGACTCATAGTGACCCTGTGTAGGGTTTCCAAGGAGTGACTGGTAAGCCTGAATCACTGACCTTGCGGTTCAAACCAACCTTGGAGTCCAGCGCATTAACCTACAGTGCCACACCAGGCCCACGCTAGGTGCTTTAATATTTTGCCTGACTTCATTCTCATAGTTACCTGTGAGAGCAGGAAACTACATCCCAGTGCTTCCTTTGCCTCTGAAGTCACGTAAACACTCCCTTCAGTTTCCAGTCCTTTCCGGCAGTAGCAAAAGGCTCTTACTATTTTGCTAGCAATCCATTAACGAATGGAAGTCAGCTCAGCAGGTTGGAGTCCTCGGCTATTAAAATTGCTGGGCCCTGTCATCTTTCAGGTTTCACGTACAAACTGCACGTACGGCAGTAACACTCCAATCACACCGTAATTTTGTGATAACAACCTGTGAGTTTTTATGGCTGTGACTACTGTCACTACGCTTAAAAGTGACATCCAGTTCTGATGTGGTTTTTTTGTTTTGTTTCTTTTGAAATTTTCTGAATCAGTGAAAGTTCTCTCAGTGCAGGGATCTGCTGCTGCTGCTTCTAAAAAGACAATTTCTAGACCCAAAAAGAGCTGCCTTCACCTTCTAATATTAAGAAATACAGGTTTTTGGAAGCCAGGTTCTGAGGACACAGATTTGTGGTGCGAGGTGACAACTTAGAGGGCTTTCCCCAGTGGTGTGTGGGTTCAGCTTCCGGAGCACGCTGAGCCAGGCAGGTTTGGGGAGGTGCTCAAGATCTGAGAAGAGACGTACAGTGCCACACTGAGTGCCAATGCATCGCATTTGCTGTCTCTTCCAGCCTGATGAAAGATTACTTTTTCAAACCACCCATCAATCAGTTCAGCTTGAACTTCCTGGATCGGGAGCTAGAGGGGGCCTACCGGACCAGCTACCAAGAAGAGGTGCGTTTTTCCTCATCGCTGTAATAAATCGGTTGTACTTCACTGTTTGTTTCGTGTCTTAGCAGCCAGTTTTGTGTTGTTTTTTTCTCCTGAGTAACAAAAAGTGATTCCCATGGTCTTGAAGTGCTAAGTGGTATCTCTGTACAAGCCTGTCTTTGCAGAGGGATGGAAACCAAATCTTCCTGTCATCCTTTTGGTCTTACACGTAGACCCCCTTGGCTCTGCCCCTGGCCTGAAGGACCTGCTGCAGGTTCTCACCTGTGCACCAAGTGATAGTACCTGTCTTGCGGTGGCATCTTACCTGTGCACCAGGTGTCCTGCTTATCCTGCAGCAGCGTCTTAACCTGTGCCCCTGTCTGCTTTCCACCTTCACTGAAAAGGGACAAGCAGCTCAGGAGACCTTTTGCCTTTCCCTGTAAAAACACCGTGCTGCACGTTACTGCTTGCTTCTGCTATAGGGCTCAAACATGCTGACCACCCCTCCACTGACTTCACTCCCATCCTCCTTTCTCTCAGATACCACTGCTGCCAGCAAACCTCCCCGAGCTCTAGATTGGATCCTACGTCCCCGTTACTTGGTTTCTTCTTAGCGTGTATACCATTTTGCCATCATTACTTTTGTGACTTTGTGCATGCTCTTGTCCTGGTTCCACCTTTCTTGTCCCCCGGCACTGACAGGGGCTCAGGAAAGAAGAATAAGAGCCTGGAGCCCCGGCTGGTGACCTGAGTCACCAGGCCCCTGCTCTCTGTCCTTTCCTCGTGTTTCCAGGTCTCAGGTGCATATCCCGACAACCCCAGGGCCAAAAGGCTTTTTACTCAGTTTCCACTCATTCACCCAGCATAGAGGCAGAAGGGATGTGGGCCGACAAGCCCCTGGTGAACATGGGTCAGTATGGGCGGCCTTGTTCCCACAGTTCTAGTGCCTTTGGAAGGGGTTTCAGAGCATGGCCAGACCAGCTGTGGGGTACACAGCCACCTACAGAGCCTCCACGTTTCCAGAACTCACAGGAGAGTTATGGAGCAGGATCTGACTGTCGCTACTGCCCAACTTGTCCTAGCATACTCTCCCTCAGACTCTGCATACCACCCACCAAACCAAGACCCAACTGCAGTCCCTCTCACCCCCACACCCACCAGCTCAACCAGCACTCCCAGCCCCAGTGGTGGCACTGAGCTGACCCCACTACCACTTGGGGCCGGGGTGAGGCCAGCCAAAGACAGTACCCCAAGATAATTTACAGCTTTACTGCTTCCAACACCACCTATCGTGCATCCCTCTGCTGGCAAGTGATCTCTGACTCACAGCGACTGCAGGGCAGGCAGGTAGACTAGGTGGGGTTTCTGAAGGTGCCAGTCTTTCTAGAAGACAGCTGCAATATCTTTCTCCCTCAGACTGGGTGTTGGGATCAGACTGCCAACTTTTGAAATTAACAGCCCAACTCTTACCACACCATGCTACCAGAACTCCTTGCTTACCTTTAGGGGCTGCATTTCCATTCTGAGAGGCACTCAGGACAGTGATGGAGGGTGGGGTGGAATCCTGCCTTGTTCCCCTCAACTGTGTGACCTTGTGGGGTCACTGAGCTGTGGTTCCCAGACTGTGCACAGGCGGCAGCATCGCCTCCTCCTGGGCTGATGCGTGGAGCCCTGGTGGTACAATGGTTGAAGATCCCAAGCCGCTCTGCGGAAGAAAGATGTGGCCGTATGGACGGCTGTGGGCTGGATTTGGGCCTGTACGAGCAGTGATCAAGAGCAAGCCCCACTGGGTTCACACTGTCCCTGGGCCAGGCCATTCTCCGAATGTGTCAGCGCTGTGGCTACTTCCTCCCTCCTTCACCTGAGAGTCCCTGGACCTGTATACTTACCCAGCATGCCGTCCTGCCGTGTAGTAGTCACTGGGCCTTGAGCTTTCTAAAGGCATTGCTGATCACTGTCCCCCAGGCTCACAGTCACAGAGAGGGCTCCTGAGTGGTGGCTGGGGTGGGGATCTGGCAGGGGCTGTAATCTGACACCACTTAAGTCCCTACTTCATGAAGGCCTCCCTTCATGAATCCACCTTCCACACGGCCCGCCCCAGAACTCAGCCACTCCCTGGATGCCTCCTGTACAGGGTTTTAGTGGAACTAAATGGTTCCTGGTGGTATAGAGTTTGAGCACTCAGTTCAAACTGTCAAAGGTTGGGCCAGTGGGATAAGGATGTGGCTGTTTGCTTCCATAGGATGATACTCTTGGAAGCCCTGCAGACTGAGTCAGAATCCACTAGATGCCAATGGACCTGCATGGGCTTTCCTGAGGTGCAGGTGTCATCCGGCTACTTTCAGCAGTTCATACTGCAGGTTGGATTCAGAATGTCGAGGCTGGTTCTCGACAGATGTGTATCTTAGAGAACCCACTGGTTCATAACTGATTGTTCTGTGACCTTGGACAAGTTTCTCAACCTCTCTGTACCTCAGTTTCCTGATTGTTAGATGGGGTGAGAGTTGGAGGTAACCCACCTAAAGCACCTGTCTTGAGTCTGGCTGGAGGAGTCATGGGCTCAGCAAGAGATCACGATTTCTCCATCCCAGTTACACACAGGGCCAGACGTCACCACTTCTTCATGCTCCCACCTTCCTCTCCTGCTCCAAACAGGTCATAAAGAACGCTCCCGTCAAGACTTTCGCCAGTGCCACCTTCAGTTCCCTCCTGGATGTGTGTCTGTCAGCAATCGTGTTTCTGGTCCTCTCCGTCACCTGCTTCCTGGAATTCGGGGCCACTGCCTTCCCCCCACCACCTGCTGCCCTGGCTGTCTTTGGCACGGCCCTGGTGCTGGAAGGGCTCGCCCTCATTGTCTCCATCAGGTAAAGCCCAGACACAGCGGGGTGCCTTGAGCTCCTAGCCTTTGGCTCCATCTTCTGGCTTGATGATGATGGGCCGACCTGTCCACCTGCAGCACTGCGGTGTGACTGATTCAGGCATATTCCGGGGACAGGGCCTCATGTCCTTCCCTGCCTGGGCCCACACTTCAGTGACGTCCTCCACTGACGCTGGCCCTCTGCATGGGTGGACACCCTCCTCAGTAGAGGCTAAGTGCTTCCTGCAGCCTTCACTGTCATCACTGTGACCCTGGTATCCTGACCAGAGACTGGAGAAGAAAAAGTGGGGAGGTCGGAAGGGAGACAGGGAGAAGGAAAAGGGAGAGGAGCTAAGTTGGACTTTATCCAAATGTGAAACTTTGGTACTCTAAAGGTCACTATATCAGTGTTCTCCAGAGAAATGGACCCAATAGTGTATATAGGTAAGAGTTAGTTACACACCCTGACGTACTTACATTGTACTTTTACACAAGTACCATGTGCATTGTCATTTTTGGTGACCCACTCAACCCCCTCATGCACTGCTTCCCTATGCACACTGTGTGTGTCATACATGTGGATAAGTTCTATGCTAGGAAGTTGTGGTATGTCAGATGTGGTCATCTGCTTCCAGAAAGACGGACAGTTTTGGAAACCGTCAGGGGCAGGTCTGTTCCGACTCGGTGTCAGTGAGATTGGTTTGGCTTAAATAGAGAAAGAGACTTATTTTAAGGAATTGTCCCACAAGACGTGAGGAACAGCAGTTGTGAAATGTGCAGGGCAGTCCATTTGAGTTACTGCTTTTCAGGCTTTGAACTGATTGTCTGAGGCCCCACCATGCTATGGAGAGCGAGCCCCTTTCCTTAGAAGAATCCGACTGTAGATTTTAATCCACACAGCTCCTTCACAGCCGCACCTAGACTAGTGTTTCAGCAGATGGCTGGTACTACAGCTGGTCAAGTGGACACATGAAATTAGCGCACACGAGTGAAAAGAAAGCCCACAGTAGGGATGGGCCCTGAAGGCAGAGCCATGCTCAAGACCTCCAGTTGCCTGTTCCCAGAAGATAGTGAGCCAGGACCACCTACCCCACCAGAACCTGCTCACCCTCTTGCCCCCATAACAGGATGGTGTTCTTCTTGGAGGACGTCATGGCGTGCACCAAGCGTCTACTGGAGTGGATCGCTGGCTGGCTTCCACGGCATTTCATCGGGGCAATCCTAGTGTCGCTCCCTGCCCTCGCTGTCTATTCACACGTCAGCTCCGAGTTTGAGACAAACATCCACGTAAGTAACGGTTACACAGGTGTCTTCATGTGTGGGTGCTACTGTCGCAAGCCAAACTTTATTCGCTGTCAGGGCAGGAAGCTAGAAGTCCGTGTTCGGGGCACCAGCTCTAGGTCATGGCTCTCTGTTGGCTCCATGGAAAGCTCTTTCTTACTTTCAGCTCCTCAGGTCCTTGAGGATCTCCATGTGGTGCTTGTCTCTCCCCATTTGTGCTTGCTCGTCTCTGTGTCTAATCCGTTCTCTTTATATCTCAATACAACTTGGTGTAGGGCATGCTATATTGACATGGCCTCGTTCATGTAACAAAGGACACCTGCTTACAAATGGGGTTGCATCCATAGGTAGGGGCTAAAGTTTTGTCTTGCTGGCTTCTCTAGAAAATACAGCCAACAAAGGTTATCTACATGAGGGAGGCCTTCAAAAAATTTGGAAAAATTCGATTATCTTATAATTTCATTTTCCATGAACTTTTTGAATCTCCCTCATATATGTCGAAAAATTTATCTCAAGGCAATGACTCACATGGTTGTAGAGGCTGGCAGCTTCCAAGTTCATGAGTCAGCAATGACTCACACGGTTGTAGAGGCTGGCAGCTTCCAAGTTCATGAGTCAGCAATGACTCACATGGTTGTAGAGGCTGGCAGCTTCCAAGTTCATGAGTCAGACATCAAGTTGAAGGTTTCCCTGACTCATGTAACCACAGGGACTGACGAGCACAAGATTGGCAGTTAAGATGGCAGGCTGCTGGCTCATGGGCTACAGAGGCTAACCAATCCCAAGATCAACAAGCAGTGTGGCTGACCACTGGCTCAAAGAACTGGCGGTCAGATGATGACACCCCAGATTCAGGATCCAGGTTGAGCAAAAAGCAAGAGAACTTTGCCAGAACATCTCTGTATATGGTAAGCAGGCCGTACTTCTGAGTAATTGACTGGTCATAGCAGATCTCCTCATGGATATGTTTATATGACATCAGCTTTCATCATGAGGGATGACCACATCACAACTACCGAACCAGAGAATGCGACCCAGCCAAGTTGATCCACAGCCTTAACTGTCACTCACAGATTCCAACACCTTTCTTTTTGGCAGTCGTTTGTCAGTTTGTCAAACTGTGTGGCGTGTGAGTTGCTGTGATTCTGGAGCTATGCCACAGGTATTTTAAATACCAGCAGGGTCAATTATGGTGGACAGGTTTCAGATGAGCTTCCAGATGAAGACATACTAGAAAGGAGAGACAAACTACTTCCGAATACTTAGTCACTGAAAACCTTATGAATAGCAGAGAAACACTGTCAGATATAGTGCTGGAAAATGAGACCTTCAGGTTGGAAGGCACTCAAAATGCAACTGGGGAAGAGCTGCCATCTCAAAGTAGAATTGACCGTGATGACGCAAATGGAGTAAAGCCTGTGGAGAAAAGCCCATGGGACCTTCATTTGCTGATGGGACACAACTCTAAACGAAGAGAAACAGCTGTAAACATACATTAATAATCGGAACATGGAATGTAGAAGTATGAATCTAGGAAAATTGGAAATGGTCAAAAATGAAATGGAACACATAAACATCGATACCTTAGGCATTAGTGAGCTGAAATGGACTGGTATTGGCCATTTTTAATCTGACAATCACATGGTTTACTATACTGGGAAAGACGAATTGAAGAGGCATGGTGTTGCATTCATTGTCAAAAAGAACATATCCAGATCAGTCATCAGGTACAATGCTGTCTGTGATAGGATAATATCCATGTGCCTACAGGGAAGACCAGTTAATACCATTATTATTCAAATTTACGCACCAACCACTAAAGCCAG